CTGGGAAGTCATTCATTACCTGCTGCAACATCAAGCTCTAAATTTCAAGTTGGACTTTAGAAAGAGTAAAACCTCTTGTGAAAACATCAGAGAACTTCTGCCGGTGTTAGACAGAATCCAGCTGAAACGGTAAAAGAATCCCTCAAGAATAGAGTTGTTCAGTTTGTACACAGTTTATCATAAAACCTGAAAGAGAATTGCTATTTTTGAGCCACGAGTTCCCAATGGATTTTCAATTCCTTATTTTACTCAATTTATGGCACATCAGTCTGAAGCAGTGAATTTAGGTAAAGGGGTGCAGAGCCAGTGGTGGTTCTGTAGGCAAACATCAATGCCTTGAAATAATAAATAATGAAAAATAGTCTTCCAGGTCAGCTTACAAACTGACATCACAACAGCTGCATCCACTGAAGTTATTGAAGTTGCTTGTAGTTTTCAGTTTGGGGATTTGTATTTATTGAGTGCCTTTAATTCAAGTAGATTTCATCTAGTGATCATCTTCTCCACAGGTTGAGCCCCAGCTTTACTCTGTCCATCATTATGGAGATTTACGAGACTCGCTTTCCTCAGTATGTGTCCAGTCTGATGAGTTCAGCAGGAAATGACATCAACCTGAATGCCAGAGTGTTGGACTCTGTTCACTGCGCTGCCCTGCGCTTCACTCTAGAGCACTGCAACACTGTCAAACTCAATCTGCTCTGGACCTCCATACCAGAGGAGCAGCTAGAGAGCTTTCTGCCTTTACTCAGCAGAGTCAAACAACTCAGGTTTACTGATATAACAGCACTGATATCATATTAAACATGACTGTTCTGTTGTGTATGTTTGTTAACAGTATCTGTGTGTGTTAGTGTTGACAGGCTGCTGTTGCTGAAGCTGCTTCATTGCTGCAGTTCCTCTGATCTCCAGCAGGAGGCCGCAGATGTTCTTCTCGCTGCTCTTCACAACACGCTGGACTTCTCCTGCTGCTCTGCTCTGGATTTAACAGACACACAGGAAAACCAAGAGCATTTGAAACTAACTGAAAAAGACTGTAGAATAATCTCATCTGTGCTTCAGAAAACTCAAAGCATTGTGAAGTTGAGCTTACAGGACTGTGAGCTCTCTGATGAGGCCCTGAAACAACTTTGGCCAATCCTGCCTCAAGTGCAGCTGAAGTAAGACATCTGACAGATCCCCTTTATTGCTACTATGATAGTGCATTAATGTATCTCCATATGACATCCCTGTATATTATTCTCACATTCATGTTTGTCGTTGTGTTCTTCTTCCTCTCATCAGCTGTAGTAAAGCTCTGCTGCTGCAGTTTCTGGCTTGTATTAGTAAAGATGGATCTCAGAGAGGCTCTTTGAGGAGCGCTGAGGCTCTTTCACAGGCTTTGGGAGGAGAGATGGACCTCAGTCACACTCAGATGGACCCGAGAGTTTGTGAACAGCTGGCGCTGTTTCTGGAATATTCTGAAGGACTGACAGAACTGGATCTCAGTCACTGCAAACTCACTGATCTCTGCATGGAGCCGCTGCTGCCACATCTGCACAAAACCCAGACTCTGGAGTGAGTTACAGAGACATATGAGGAATAGAGAAATATAAAACACAGTATTCAAACTTGTTTGCTTCATGTTTCTGTTCATGTCTTCTTATAGTCTGAGTCACAATACTATCACAGATGAATCAGCAAAGAGAGTCCACAGTGTCGTCTGCACTCACAGCAATATTCAGACTGTACGGTAAGTGTGCGTGATCTGTGTGTTATTAGTGTAGGTCTATTAACACCCTATGAAATTTAGTTTTAGTGCCTAACTAAACAAAATATAAATGATTTTCATTTCATGTTGATAAAATCACATGGCTGTTTAATTCAATCCAAGTCTCAAGTTTTGTAATCTGTAATCTAGACTCGTTTCATTACAATAATGTAAAAAATAATAATAAATACAATTAAGTCTGTATACCTAACATGCATATGTAAAATTGCGTGTCATATATAAATGACAGTGGTTCATTGTAGAATACATGTTTTGCAGAGCTTTACTTTACACTTTGATGATTGAACAACTTTGATATTGCTAAATATCAAATATCAATATTTGATCAATTTTGAGGAGTATAGATGAACTGAAACACATCAGTTGATTTGTGTATCATGGTGTGGTCAATTTTGTGTTTGCAGACTCTTCGGAAACAAAATCAGTGATAGAAAGCAGTTCATCAGAGACAAGCGATTTGAAATATGGTGAAGATCCTGGGCCAGAAACGTATTGATTTAACATTAAGAGGGTATTTTGTATAAGGCTTGATTCATGATGAAACAAACTGACAGTTACTTTGCAAAGCACTAAACTGTGTTCTGTGTAGTAGTTTATTTTTATGATTAATTTAGAATAATAGCTTTATATCTTTAATGCAGCTTTGGTTAATTTGAACCAGATTTATATAAATGAAATGTTTATTATATTACAAAGCTATGATGATGTATATTTTGCAATGTGTTAGGCAAGAGTTATGGTTTGGGGATGTAGTGCTACTAGGTGTTGATCTGTCTTCACTGGCTACCCTTCACCGCTCACATCAAGTTCAAGACCGCCACAGGCTGCTCACCCTCTTACAAATACACCTCCACTGCTGCTGTTGGTGGGTGAGCAACACCTTGTGCTTCTATAACACTGGCACAGTCACTTTCCCAAACATTCATGTTCACCGGTCCTTGCTGGTGGAATGATCTTCCCAATCTTACCCGGACAGCCGAATACTGTATTCAAGAAACGGAGGTTCAAGATTTTTTTTTTTTTTTTTTTTTCAGTGAGCACTTAACTGTGGATGTTGACTGGAAAAAATATTTCTATGCTTTATATTACTGTTATTACCGCCACAGGATGAATATCTTTGCTAAACTCCTGATTTTTTAAAATGTTTTTATTTGCTTTGGTTAAAAGCAACAGCTAAATGAATTTATATTCCAGTAATCGGTCTCTTTTAATGCACGTAATCGAGCTGTAATTAAGCTGTGGGTGTTAGCATGGTTCTGTTTTATTATTACTATTATTATTATGGTTATGGTTTTCATACTGTACATGCACATTTACAACAATAAACCTTGTTTATGTCTTTATACTGTATAAGGTTTTCATGACATGATGTTGTGAAGCAATTTTACACTGACTTTAACCAGCACTAATTCAAAAAGTGTAGTTATATCATAGTAAGTCAGACTGAGTTTTGAGAAAGACACAACTATGATTATTCAATAAACGCTTAATGTTTGACTAACGTTACCTGTAACTTGCTTCGTCTCCTGCTTTCTTCTTCCCAGCCGTGCTCCTTTTGGACTTGTAGAAAAATTTATATGACAAGGTGTTGACTTACAGAAAAATCCAATGCTGTTTTTAAAGACAGAGTCGATTACTTGAAATACATTAAACTATGTATATGGACAGAGAACATACTCTGACGCGCGGCTCGTTGGTCTAGGGGTATGATTCTCGCTTAGGGTGCGAGAGGTCCCGGGTTCAAATCCCGGACGAGCCCAATTTTTTTTCTCACACTTTGCGCAATGGTGGATTAGTTAACACAACAATGTTCTACAATTTTAATTATTTCTTCAAATGTAGATTGTAATGAAGGTAAAATCCACCGACTGCTGTCGCAATACTTCACCATGAATCAGTGTGCACAGTGATAGCGTTTACTGAACTGAACGGCGTCACAGTCAGTTGTAAGTAACGGCCTGTACTCCACCAAAATGGTGAAATGATTACACTGATAAAATACGTTGGGACAAAAACATTTCAGACATGACCCCGACGTGATTTGAACACGCAACCTTCTGATCTGGAGTCAGACGCGCTACCGTTGCGCCACGAGGTCTCACGGTTTTCAATGGGAAAATAACAGCTTTTTAAATTATTGTTACTGTATATGTATAATAATTTGTAGAAAAACAGACAAGACCTTCAAATGTCAAACGAACCATTTACATACTAATCCGAACCGCAAATTTATGTGATCCAGTTCGGCATGCATTTAAACAAAGGAGTATTAAATTGCCATTATTTCCGATTATCTATTATCTCGCACATGTATACGTATTCCTCGTATATCTCGTATTATGTATACATACGAAAATACTCTTCTGTAAAACAATTATTGTTTTCCACGCCTTGTTAAAATATGGCTCGTTGGTCTAGGGGTATTATTCTCGCTTTGGGCGCGGGGGCCAGCCGTGGATAGTTGTAACTCACTGACAGCCAATGAAATGTGACGTGCATTGAGCGCATTGAAGCATTTCAACAGCTGGCCAAAGAGCGGAAATGATGTCACAGCCAATCAGATCTTTTCATGCATTTATTTGGACCGGGGTTCGAATCCCACTCACACAGGTCTAAACCATTATTTCACACAGCAAGTAAGTAATTTGCTGCAAAGTAATTTGTGTCTTGCCTTTTTGAAAAACAAAGTAAATTATGA